AGACCAGAAATCCTTGGGAAGAAACGACCGCATCTACATGAATTTGTTTCCCGCTCACATCCTGGACCTGAACCCAAGGAGTTTCACCGTCGGTTCTGCCCTGGACCCCGTGAACCCCTCGGACCACGTCCCCGTCGCTGTTATTCTGGTGTCTGCCAAGCCCCCCGAGGTCCCGAGGATTCCGCGATGGGTCACAAGGGGCCCGCTCTACCCTCAACATGTGGCTGAAGTGATCGAGGAAATCGGTCAGGACAGTCTCTCTTAGAATGTTTATCAACGCGCGCTTGAATTTAAAAATATCTTTCGTGCTGCCGCACGGCGCGTCATGGATGCAGCCTGCCAGCGTGAAGCCGCCACCCCCGCTGAGATGGTCTCGTGGGCTCTCGCTGTCGTCGGGGGCATGGCCGCTGGAAACATTCCCAAACTTGTGCTTGCACTCCGTGTTTTCCCTTCTCTCGTCAACTTCGCGAACGCGACTGACTGCGCCTGGCTCGACGAGGCTGGCTTTCACGTTTTCTTCGGCTCCATCTCCGCGGCTCTCATCGACGCCGACGTTGCTGAGATCGATCAAGGTTCGCTTCCTCCCGCGCGTGAGCTCGCTCAGAAACAAAACATGATGCAGTATTACTCGGTGTGGGGCGCGGACATCCGCCAGGTCCCCTCGGCGGGCATCCTCGACAGCCCGGGCCGGTGCGAAACGGACCCGAATGTTGCCGGAGAGAGGCTTGCCCAGCACTTGGAGCCCGTCCACGCGCCTGTCGCGGTCGATGAGGCCGCCGTTGAGCGGATCAAGCCGTTCAGTCAGCCAGCGCCTAGGGTCGTGTTCTGGACGCTCGAGCAGCCCGGATTTGAAGAAATGCTACGCCGTCTGCATGACACAGGTGCTGGCCCAGATGGGCTGCCGTGCTCTGCGTGGACTCGGGCGGCTCCAGCGGCAATCCAGTTGCTTTGCGAGCGTTGCGTCGATGTCGTCAATGTCGGATAGCCCCCCAAATGGCTTCAGTCACTCCCCTGGCGTCTTCCCCCCCAAAGGTACCCGAGGAGCCGACGACGAACGTGTCCAGCGTCTCCCTGAGGTCACCCGCCCCTTATGCTTCAGCAATACCGACAACAAAATCATTGCCCTCGCCATCAATCGCCCCGTCAGTCGTATATGTCAAGAAGTCTGTCACAAGCGTCAGCGTGGCTTTATCGCTGGACGCGATATGCTTTCCAATATTCTCGAGTTGGAAACTCGGGCTGTCTCTTGGTGGTGCCAGCTAGGTGCAGACAAGACGGGCTACGCCTTTTTCGATATCGCGCTGCGTTCCCGACAGTGCTGCACGTATTCATTTTCATCATTTTGATGACCATGGGGATCCCCGAGGATATGTAGCACGCGATCGCTGAGCTCCACCGAGACATCAAAGTGCAAATCCTATTCTGCGGCCCGCGACAAGCTTTTTTCCGTGTTCTCCGTGGGGTGAAACAGGGCTGTCCCATGAGTGGTTCGATCTTCTGCCTCGTTTTCGACCCGTTTATCCGTATGATGGTGTCGAGGTTGCCCAGGGATGAAGCTTGTCTTGCAGTGCTCGCAGATGATACTGGACTCGTCGCACGGGACATCTACGCCTGTCTCTTCCTCGTTCTCCAAGTCTTTCAGCTTGCTGCGCGTGCTGCTGGCCTATGTTTAAACGTCAAGAAGACGAAGGTCGTGCCCTTTAAGTTCCCGAACAAAGAATACGTGCTCGCCTGCATGAGAGAAGCAGGCATCTTGAGCAAGCAGTTCGAAATCTGTGTGCGTGCTGTTTATCTCGGCCTCGTTCTTGGACCTGGGGGCCACGAAATCTCCTGGATCGCTCCTGCTCGTGAACTTCGGGATCGTGCCTGGCTTATCCGCATCCTGGACCTTGGGCTTGTCAAGTCGGTGGGGCAGTGCAACTTGAGGGCCCTCCCTGTCCTGGGGCACGCGATGCAGCTCCTCACGCTTTCTAAAGAAGCCTTCGCTGCCGAAAGAGAAGCCCTGCAGACCCTCGTGAGAGGGACCCGTAACGCGTTCACCGACCAGATGATGATGTCGCTCACCGGTCTAGGCTTTGCGATTCAAACTCGATGCCTGTGCTCTGCAGGTGCCGCTGCGATGTACCGAGTGGCGCTTACTTCGAGTGCCTTCCACATCTGTTGCAATCTGATGGAGGAGGGGGGGGGGGGATGCAGAGAGTCGCTTCTGGTCATGCGCTCGCCTGAAGTGTTCCACCGGTCCATGATCCAGCAGCTCAAGAGAAATTGGAAGCGCATCTCTGAGATCCCGCAGGCCCCTCAATTCGGCGATAGGCAGCTGCAGCGTAAAACTGATCTTCTGTTGCAGCACCAGGCGAGCAAATCTTGCCGCGCCACCCTCACTGCCAGACTCATATTCTTCACGCCAACGGCCAATGAGGCCGACATTGATGCTCTGATATCGTGCTTACGCCGCCTGTCCAAGCTTGCCCCTCCTTTCGTGCTCGCTTGTGTTGTCAAGACAGTCTGCAACGCTTGGTGCACCTCTCGTCGCTTCCCTGGCCCCACCGAGTCATTCCGTCTCTGTGGCTATGCCCTCGGAGGCGACGATATCATCCATATTCTCGAGTGCCCCTGTCTTTCTAGTCTTGTCCGCTTGCTGCCCGCCCTGCCTCCTCTGTTCTGCCGTGCCTCGGCCGTCGAGCGCTTGTCCTTTTACCCAGTCATGCCGCTCTCTGACTCGCAGCTGCTCGCCTGTGCCCTTTTCATTGATACTGTACATCACGTTTCCCACGCGATGAAAGCTCGTGGCACGCGTGGGGAGTGTGCCACATATAGGCAAATCCGTGCGAGGTTGCGTAGTTCAGCGAGGCGTGACGGTCGCCTCCAAGGGGTGCAACGTCGGCCTGGGTAGCCACTGCTGACCATCGGACACTCTCTCTCTTCTCTCTCGTTCTTGCCCTCGTCTCGCGCCTTGTCCGCTCTTCGTCTCTCTCTCTCTCTCTCTCTCTCTCTCTCTCTCTCTTGGGGGCCGTGTACTCCTCCCCCTCCTCCTCCTCCTCCTCCTCCTCCTCCTCCTCCTCCTCCTCCTCCTCCTCTTCCTCCTTCTCCTCATCCCTCCTCCTCCTCCTCCTCCTCCTCCTGCCGGGGGGCCTTTCGACGGCCATGCTGGGCCACCTCGCGGTGCTTTCGGAGGCGTCGAGGAAACAAACCGTGGCATCGGATGCAAGTGCCCGACTGGGGGCCCGACGCCGCCAGGGGTTCGACGCCGCCAGGGGTTCGACTTTGCCAGGACCGGGAGGCCCGCTAGGCAACCCACAAGAGACATAGCACTGCAATCCTGGAGATCAAGCCACCACCCTCTTCTTCCTCCGCCTCTGTCTCCTCCTCCTCTTCCTCCTCCTCCTGCCCCTCCTCCTCCTCCTTCTCCTCCTCCTCCTCCTCCCCGTCCTCCCCATGTCCTACCGCTCCTCCTCGCGACCCCCTCTCTCGGGCCCTCTTGGGGCGGCGCCGCCTTGCGACCCTCTGAACACTCCCTGAGGTTGGCCCGGCGAAGCAACTATTGCATCTCAGGTTTCGGTTTGTTGCAAAGCCCTGGCGGCCCCCTGGGGATCCCCGGGGCCCCACGAAGGCTCCAAAATGAGCCCCCTGCTGTCAAGGACGAGGGCCGCCCTCTTAAGCAGGGGGGCCCTCTTGGAGCCCTCCTGGGGCCCTCTTGGAACCCTCTTAGGGCCCTCTTGCGACCCTCTTGTGCCCCTCTGGGGCCTCCCTTGGGGCCCTATTGGGGCTGTTTTCCTTTAGCCTAGGAAGTGGTATGGGCGTGGTTCGGGCGTGGTTCGGGGCGCGGCTCGGGGCGTGGTTCGGGCGTATGGTTCGAGGCTGGTTCGGGCGTGGTTTGGGTGTGGTTCGCGTATGGTTCGGGCGTGGTTCGGGCGTGGTTCGGGGCGTGGTTCGGGGCGCGGTTCGGGCGTGGTTCGCGCATGGTTCGAGGGTGGTTCGGGCGTGGTTCGGGCGTGGTTCGGCGCGTGCGTGGTTCGGGCGTGTTTCAGGTGCGGTTCGGGCGCGGTTCGGGGCGTGGTTCGGGCGTGGTTGGTTCGGGCGTGGTTCGGGCGCGGTTCGGGCGTGGCTCGGGCGTGCGTAATTCGGGGCGTGGTTTGGGCGTTCGGGCGTGGTTTGGGCGCGTGTTTCGGGCGTGGTTCTGGCGTGTATCGCGCTGTTGGGAATGAGCGTTTTGGTTCAGATTTCCTCAACATGCACGCTCCGAAGGGGTGCTCCGACTGCCATTTTGCTGAGGATGTCTGTAGCGAAACGATCACCCGAACCACGCCCCGAACCATGCGCGAACCACGCGCGAACCACGCGCGAACCACGTCCGAACCACGCCCCGATCCACACCCCGAACCATGCCCGAACCGCGCCCGAACACGCCCGGACTACGCTCGAACCATGCCCGAACCATGCCTGAACCCCGCGCGAATCACGCCCGAACCACGCCCGAACCACGCCCGAGCCGCGCCCGACCCGCGCCCCAATCCCTGACCTTTTTGAGGCGCTCCCCCCCAAGGCGTTCCCCACCAGGCGCTCCCTCCCTAAGTCAGGGCGCGCGCCTCCTGCCAGGGCGCTCACCCCTGGGCGCTCCTCCCTCGCACTCTCTTGCCTCCCCCCAGGGCGCCCCTCCGTCCCTCGGCGACCCCCCTTCCCCCCCAGGCTTTCCTGTGCCCTTCCCAAGCGCCCCCTCCCCACCAGTGCCCCCCCCCTCCGCCCCCTCCTCTCCTCCTCTCCCCAGGGTGCCTTCCGCCCCCCCCCCCCCCTTCAGGGCGCACCCGAACCAGCCCCCCCTCTGCTTTTCCCCCCTGCAGGGCGCTCCCTCCCCGCCCCCCTTCTCTCCTCCTCCTCCTCCTCCTCCTCCTCCCCCCTCCTCCTCCTCCTCCTCCTCCTCCTCCTCCTCCTCCTCCTCCTCCCCGCATCTTCCGTCCCACCCCTCGCCCCAGAGAGCGGGGTGGCGCTCGGGACCCCCCCCCAGAAGGCACTTGGGCTCAATTTTTTCCAGCCCGGGGCCTCCCACCCTGCGTTCGGCAGCACCGCGGATGCAAACGCGAGCGCGCAGTAACGATGTTGATGCGCCCTCGCTTGTGCATTCTTGGCTGCCTGCTGATCCCGCACGCCTGCCGGGCATCCGAGGCGGACGAGACCTGTGACTCGTCGTGGTGCCTCGACTTCAACACGGACTGCCTCGCGGGAGTACGCGCGCAGCCGTGCCCCTGCGAGCGAGGCGTCCCGCGCGTCCTCGACGCGCCCGCGTTCCTCGGCTACGGGCGGCCCCTCTTTCGCTACACGTGCTGCGTGGAGCACGGCGAGGAGAACGCGAGCCAGCCGCCGGCCGTCTTCACGTTCGACAGGGACATCTGTGGCAATTACAGCCCCGTGCACATGAAGGCGTCCTGCGTCTTCGCGGTGCTGCTGTTGGCGGTGGGGGCTCTGGTGCTCGGCCGCGCACGGAGGGGGGCAGGGGGGGAAGGCTTTTCGCACACATCGAGGCGGAGTTTTTTTCGTAGTTTTTGTCCCCCCCGGGGCCCTCAGGGCTTCGGGACCGTCCAAAAACGAGACAGTTTTGAAAAAGCAGCCCCAGGGAATGGGTCGAGACCTCTGGGGGTCGACGTGATGAAACAAAGTTTGACGTCGGGGAAGTGGGGAAGGCCTCTTGGAAGCACCCCTGCTTCTTGGAAGGCGCTGGCCTTGTCTACAGATGCAGGGCCAGCGCCTCCTAAGAAGCAGGGTGCTTCTAAGAAACCTTCCTCCTCTCTTCCCCCTTCCCTCTACCCCGTGTGGTCGCCGCCAAGGTTCGCGCAGGAGGTCAGCGGAGCCTCTTGGCCAGCGGGCGGCCGCGGCCGATCGAGACTGCGGCGGGGGAGGAGAGCTTCGAGGAGTCCGTTCCCGTGGTGGACGGGAACCGGCTGCATTACTGCATCCCTCCGCGCAAGTGGTGCGTGACACGAAAGGACTCGACTCCTCCTCCTTCCCCTCCTCCTCCTCCTCCTCCTCCTCCTCCTCCTCCTCCTCCTCCTCCCTCCTCCTCCTCCCCCCTCCCCTCCTCCTCCTCCTCCTCCTCTCCTCCTCCTCCTCCTCCTCCCGGGGGGGGGGTCCAAAGGGGGTTTGGGCCTCGGAACCTCGTCGAAACTGAGGGTGCGAAGCCCCTGGCGGAGCAACTACGCGTAAGAGTGACCCTTCGCCGGAGTGACCTTTGGTGCGGGCTCCTCTGGGCCCCCCCGATCGCCCAGCGCGATGCGGCAGCGGCTGTTGGCGCGCCCGGATCTGGCCACGTTGCGCCCCCCTTAGTCCGCGCACCGAAGGTCACTCTGAACTGCCCAGGGTCACTCTTGCGTGTAGTCGAAAGGACGTCGAACAATTCAGACGGCTGGTGCGGCGTGCAGTTCTCGATGGCCGCATCCGGCCCACGGAGTCGGACCAGTTCGATCCGACGGACGACCGGGTGGGGCCTACCGTCCATACCGTCTGCGAGCAGTACGTCTCCCCCGTAACGTTTACCGCAGGAAGCCCGAGCTGGGCGCTCATGCTCCACAACGACGGGCTCGACTGCGACATGTTTGTTTCGCACAGCTGGCAAGAGGGCATCTATGAGCTCATCGACAAGATGCTGTTCTCCTGGCCTGCTCGTGCACATAGTGCTTATCTGTGCTTCCTGTCGAACCCCCAGAACTCGAGCCAGTGCGACTCTCCAAGTCGAGGCACCGTCAGAATCGACATCGGGCATCTCATATCGAGCCCAATCGACTCTCCATTTGCACACGCGTTACGTTCTGCAACGCATGTGATGGTTGTGTCGAACAAACAAGGGAGCATCTACAGCAGGATCTGGTGCACTTACGAGGCTTACTTGGCTTACACCATGGACAAACACATTTTTCGTGCGTCAAGTCCAGTGCATGATTTGTGGCCTCGTGTGGTGTCTCAATTGGGCTTGTGTATCGTTAGTCTTGCAATTGGTGCTTTATTGTGGATCCTCTTTGTTTTTCTCAGACTCGATGAGTTTGGATATCCGTTTCTGGCTCTACTAATTCTTACGATGCTTATTTGTAAGATTGATTACGTCATCCAACGCAAGAAGCCGGAAGGCAATGCTTGCCGCCGTTCTTGTGCTGTAACGGGAGGTGCCGCTAGTATTTGCATCGGTTTCATCATGCAAATGGACGCTTCGTTAGTCAATTTCTTCGGTGTCGTCGTTTGCGTGGCGTATTCGATCTGTTTAGAAGCCGACCGTTTATGGTTGGTCGAAGCCGCCCAGGAGAGAGCCAATTTGCTCAAGGGCTACACTGGCCATGTTCGCGACGCACGCTGTTCTGTGCCTGAGGACGGTTCGCAGATCCGCAGAGAATTGCGAGATCAAGATGCTAATGTAGACCATTGTGTGGAAGTTCTGATTCGCACAGGCCTCTCCAGCAAGCATTTGCGCAGCGCAGCTCGCATAGCCGGTGGACTTGGTAATTGTAGCAATTGGTATATGGCTTCAGTTGTCTCGGCGGTGGGTGCACTTTGGATTTATATGCCTGCTCATTCGGCTTGGTGGGGCGACGATTGCACGTCCGAGCATGACGAATGCACGCATGCTTGTCTGACCGCAGCTTACGCGTGCGTCGTGCAAGCAACGATTTGGTGTGTATTGTTCAGATTCGTTTTGGGCCCAGACCGCAGAACATTTGCATCGAAGTCCCTTCTACTCATGTTAGTTGGTGCGGCGATGTACGTTATGATCAGTGCTTGCGCATATGTGATCGCCACCTCTATCTTCCTCGGTCCTTCCGTGCTGACTCTTACTTTGGCCGGGCCTGCCAATGTCGCTCGAATACCGGCTGTTGGCCCCATAGTGGTGCGTTTCGCCATCGGCGACCAGAATAGCTGCAATCCGTTCGTGCGTCCCGAGGAGCTTCGGGACGAGAGCGCGGCTGCAGAAGTGTATGGCGCCAGGAGCGATACAACTGGAACCGAGGACAGCTCGCCGAAAGGCGCTGAGATCGACAGCCCGAACAGCCAGATTGAGTATGTCTGAGTGCGGCCCGGGCGACCGAGCCGCCGACGCATTCCGCGGATCGCAGCTGGTTGCGTGTGCAGCTGCCCCACGAGATAATCTCGACCTCCCCCGGAGGCTCCCAGAGTTCTGCAGTGGTTCAGGAAGGAGGAGGACGGGGACGAGGAGGCGGAGGAGACGGAGGAGGAGGAGGAGGAGGAGGAGGAGGAGGAGGAGGAGGAGGAGGAGGGCCGTCTTGGGAGCCACCTGGGGCGGTCTTGGGGGCCTGTTGGGCCGTTCTGGGGCCATCTGGGCGATCTTGGGGCGATCTTTGGGGTCTCTTGGGCCGTCTTGAGCCGTCGGAAGGCCAACAAGAAGCAAATGCCCTAGTCCTTCCAAAACCTACGGAAAATGAAACATGTTGGCCTGTTCGGGCCTTCTGGAGGCCCTCTTGGAGGCCTCTTGCGCCGTCTTGGGGCCTCTCGGGGGCCTCTTGGACCCTCTTGGACCGTTTTTGAGGCTTCTCGGGCGGACTTGGAGGCACTTTGAGCTCTCTTGGGCCGTCTTGGAGGCCATCTTGGATCATCTTGGGCGAACTTGGAGGCCATCTTGGACCATCTTGGGCGAACCTTGAGGCTATCTTGGCTTTCTTGGAGGCCATCTTGGGCCGTCTTGGAGGATTGTTTCTGGTTTTCTGGTCCTTTCGGGTGGCCCGCTGGACGGGCCGACGCCCCAGGGGGAGTTTTCTTTGAAACAGAATCCAAACCAAAACAGGAAAAATCTAGCACGCCGTGCTCCCCTGTGGCCGAACCACAAGGGGGCGGCGGACCAAAGACTCCTACGGCGAATACCGCCGCCCCCTGCCTTTTTGGAAGCGCCTCCGTGGCCGAAAGTTGGATGTGAGCTTGGCCAAGCTATCGGGCCACGCGTTCCCCGAGTGGGTTTCGAAAGCTTTCGGGGAACATGGAGTCGGGCATGCTGTCGGACCAGGTGGTTTCCCAGCTTTCGGGTTTCCTGGAGGACGTCTTGGAGGGCTCTTGGGCTGTCTTGGAGGTGCGGTCCGTTTGGGCAGTCTTAGGCCATCTAGCGGCCATCTGGGGCAGTCTTGTGTGCATCTTCGGGCCACCTTAGCTGGGCGTCTTGGAGGCATCTTGAAGGCCATCTTGGCCTGGCCGTCTTGGATGCTATTCTTGGGCGTCTTACGGGGCCTCGTGGGCCGTCTTGGGGCCTTCTTGATCTTGGGCGATCTTTTCGGCGATCTTTGGGGGCTCTTGGGCCGCCTCGGGCCGTCGGAAGGCCGAAAAGAAGCAAATGCCAAGCTCCTTCAAAAACCCATGGGCGCTTCGGGGCCGTCTTGGAGGCCATCTTGGGCGTCTTGGAGGCCATCTTGGTTGGGCGTGTTGGAGGCCTCTTGGGCCGTCTTGGGGTCTTCTTGGGGCCGTATTGGAGGCCAATTGGGCCGTCATGGGGCCCTCTTGGGGGCCTCTTCGGCGATCTTGGGTGCCTCTTGGGCCGTCTTGAGCCGTCGGAATGCTGAGAAGAAGCAAGTTCCGAAATCCTTCAAAAACCTAAGACAAATCAATGATTTCGGCCTCTTCGGGCCCTCCTGGAGGACCTCTTGGAGGCCTCTTGGGCCGTCTGGGAGGCCTCTGGGGGGCCTCTTGGGCCGTCTTGGACTCTCTTGGGCCGTCTTGGAGGCCGCCTTGGACCATCTTGGGCGGACTTGGAGGCCATCTTGGGCCATCTTCGCGATTTGTTGAGGATGTCCCGAGCGAAACGGCCGTTTCAGGGAGGATTGTTCGTGGAGTTTGCGCTCCTGGAAGAGCCTCCCGGGACCCTGGCAGGACGGGCCGACTCGCCAGGGGGAGTTCTTTGGAAAAAGGAGCAAAACCAAAGCCGAAAGGATCCAGCACGCCAGGCACCCTTGCGATGAATCGACAGGGGGCGGCGGATCTAGTACGCCTACGGCGAATCACCGCCGCCCTCTGCCTTTTTGGAAGCGCCTATGTGGCCGAACGTCGAGGCCAGGCCTGCCAAGCCATCGGACCAGAAAGCCTTCGGGGAACACGTGGGCATCTTGAAGGTCATCTTGGCCGTCTTGGAGGCCTCTTGGGCGATCTTTCGGCGATCTTTGGGGACTCTTGGGCCGTCTCGGGCCGTCGCAAGGCCGAAAAGAGGGAAATGTCAAAATCAGTGAAAAACCTTAGGAAAATCAATGTTTTTGGCCTCTTCTGGCCTTCCTGGAGGCCCTCTTGGGAGCCTCTTGGGCCGTCTTGGGCCAGCTTCGAGCCAACTTTGGCCATCTTGGTGGGTTCCTGGCACGTCTGACGCCGTCGGGAGCCGTCTTGGGGGCCTTTCTGGGCCAACGGGGGGCCCTCTTGGGGCGCTTCGGGGCCGTTTTGGAGGCCATCTTGGGCGTCTTGGAGGCCATCTTGGGCGTGTTGGAGGCCTCTTGGGCCGTCTTGGGGCTCTCTTGGGGCCATCTTGGAGGCCGCTTGGGCCGTCATGGGGCCCTCTTGGGGGCCTCTTGGGCGATCTTGGGGGCCTCTTGGGCCGTCTTGAGCCGTCGGAATGCCGAGAAGAAGCAAATGCCACAATCCTTCAAAAACAGAAGGAAAATCAATGATTTTGGCCTCTTCGGGCCCTCCTGGAGGACCTCATGGAGGCCTCTTGGGCCGTCTGGGAGGCCTCTGGGGGGCCTCTTGGGCCGTCTTGGGCTGTCTTGGACTCTTTTGGGCCGTCTTGGAGGCTGTCTTGGACCATCTTGGGCAGACTTAGAGGCCATCTTGGGCCATCTTCGCGATTTGTTGAGGATGTCCCGAGCGAAACGGCCGTTTCTTGGGCAGGAAATTGGGGAATTCAGCGCCTTCCGGGTAGCCAGCGGGGCGGGCCGAAGCCCCAGGGGGAGTTCCGTTGAACAAAAAACCAAAACCAAAACCCATATAGTTTGGCACGCCAGGCACCCCTGTGATGAGTCAACAGGGGGCGGCTGATCTAAGACGCCTACGGCGAATCACCGCCGCCCCCTGCCTTTGTGGAAGCGCCTATGTGGCCGAACGTTGAGGCCAGACCTGCCAAGCCATCGGACCATGTGCTCCCCGAATCGGTTTGGAAAGCCTTCGGGGAACACGTGGGCATCTGGAATGTCATCTTGGCCGTCTTGGAGGTCCTTGGGCGATCTTTCGGCGATCTTTGGGGGCTCTTGGGCCGTCTCGGGCCGTCGGAAGGCCGAAAAGAAGGAAATGTCAAAATCCGTCAAAAACCTTAGGAACATCAATGTTTTTGGCCTCTTCTGGCCTTCCTGGAGGCCCTCCTGGGCCCTTCTTCGGGCCCTCCTGGAGGACCTCTTGGAGGCCTCTTGGGCCGTCTGGGAGGCCTCTGGGGGGCCTGTTGGCCCGTCTGGGGTCCTCTTGGACTCTCTTGGGCCGTCTTGGAGGCCGCCTTGGACCATCTTGGGCGGACTTGGAGGCCATCTTGGACCATCTTGCAGGCCATCTTGGGCCATCTTGGCCATCTTGGAGGCCATCTTGGAGCCGTCTGGGGCAGAACATTGGGGAAGCGAGGTCCGTGGAAAAAATCCCGGGACCCCAGCGGGATGGGCCGAAACCCACGAGGAGAGTTCTTTTGGATTGGAAAAAGAACCAAAACCAAAACCGATAGGATCCGGCACGCCGGGCACCCCTTTGCTGAAGCAGAAGGGGGCGGCGGATCCTAGTGGCCTTCGGCCCATCCCGCCACCGTGCCTGGGTTGTGGGCCTGAGGCCCCGTGTATATATGTTGGGGTGTCGTGGGGAGCCTCTCGGGGACGTGGGGTGTCGTGGGGTGTCGTGGGGTGTATATACGTTGGACCGACGACGTCATCAGCAGTTAAGAAGTTGGGATTGAGAGAACGTGTGAGAAGCAGCGTTCCGGCAGCCCGAGCAGGGCGCGCTCCGGCGCACGCCGGCCTTCGACCTGCGACCTTCGACCTTCGTGGGGAGCCTCTCGGGGCATCTTGGTGGCCGTTGGGGCGCCTCTCTGTGGCCTCTCGGGGGCCTCGTGGGGTATCTTTTGGGCCCCTTGGGGAGGCCTCCTGGGCGCGTCTGGGGCGCCTGCCTCTTGGGCCTCCTCCTCCTCCTCCGCCGCCCTCCTCCTCCTCCTCCTCCTCCTCCTCCTCCTCCTCCTCCTCGGTCTTGGGGCGTCTTGGGCTGTCTTGGGGCGGTCTTGGGAGCTTCTTCAGCCGTCTTGGAGCGTCGGAGAGCCGAACATGCGAGAAGTCCGCACAATCTCTCAAAAACCTTTGTGGCATCGACGATTCTGGCCTCTCGGGGCTCTCTCGGGATGCCTCTTGGAGCGCTCTTGGGGCCTCTTGGGGCCCCCTTGGGCCGCCTTGGAACCATCTTCGGGCGCCTTGTAGCGCTCTCGGTCTCGGCAATGCGAATCTGGTGAACTTTCCGAGGGTTTATGGACGCGGATCTTGCGGTATTTACAATGGTTTGTTGCCTCGGGAACAGCCCAATAGGCTCCCAAGATGGCCCGAAGACAGCCCAAGCGGTCTTCAAGATGGCCCAAGAGCCAAGAGGTCTCCCAAGAAGGCCCTGGAGGCCCCAAGAGGGGGAATCTAAACTCATATGTCGGCCCTTCCCGAAAGATCGCCCTGTAGTCCTAAGATACCTTCATGAGCTTCCCAAAGGGACGTCTTGTTTGCGACTTGGTCTGGTCCCACGCATGCCCCGAGAAGCTATCGAGAGGCCTCCTGTTCCTCTTGTCCCCCTCCTGCTCTTCCTACTTCTCGTTCGCCACGAGCGCGCCAATACACCGCAACCGTGATTCAACGAGCACACCAATCTGCAGCAACAGCGATACATTATGGGCGACACAATTGAGCCGCCTGGATTCCGAGAGCGGTGCGCCTGACGCTGAACCGAAGACCCGACGTACCTAGCAGCTGAAAACCCACAAGAGCTGGAGGTGCCCGACTTTTGGAGGCTTCGAAATGGGCACCAACACCAAAACAGGTGGGTGAGCCCACCGGGGAGTATGATCATAGATTTCGGTGTTGGTGGCAATATTTCGAACGCCTGGGATGCCAGAATATTACGACCATCACCGAGATCGGAATCATCTCCCCTCGACGTCAAGGTGGTCAGGCGCCTCGCCGGTTCAGCCGGCGAAGATGTGCAACGTCCGAGCTCGGGTATGGCCAAGACCCCAGGTAAGGGGACTCGGTTAGTGGTAGGGCCCTGGAGCCCCTAAATTGGCCAGAATCAATAAACGAGGTCTGCCGCAGCTGGTGTTTTTCGGGTGACGGCAGTTCCGGTTAGTGGAGCGGGGCGGGGGGGGCGTTCCCCAGTACACATCACTAAGCCAGGTTTCACTAAACCCAGTTCTGGCAACGCTCGACAAGCATTCGCTCATGTTCAAAGTTTTGGCTTGACGCCAGGTGTGGTTGATCAATTTCAGCTTGACCGAACAGGTTGGTTACGCCCCTTGACGTCCGTTTGGGATGTTCTGCAGACCTGACCCCCCAGCTCTACTCGACCCATGCCGCTACCCTCTGCCAGTTTTTGTTGTTTTTGGGCCTCCTGGGACGCCCTCGTCGCCACCGCTGGATTCGGCTCGGAGTTCTGGTCAGAGGGAACCCCAGGAGAGGTCCAGGGAGTAGCGATGTCAGTGCCTTTTGATTCCCTCATGCAGTGCCACAGGACCGATCGAAAGAAGCATCCCATTTCTGGGCCAATGGTCGGCGGAGACAGCTGTAGGCCCGAGACACAGCACAAACATTGCTGATGGGCTGGAAACCAGTTGACGGCTTAGGAATGAGCGACACCATTTGTGGTGTCCAGAACCCGGGTAGCAAGGGGACAGAAGCTTCTGGAAGGTCCTTCGAAGGAGCTCTGGAAGCTCTGTAAAGACGCCTCTGGAAAGCCTGACGGCAAGCACTTTGGGAAACCGTAGGGAAGGCCTTCTGGGACACGTCGCCGGCTCACAGGAACTTTTTGAGGTGTCCTGCCAGAAGCCGAGAGTCGCAGGCCTAGAGGTTGACAACACCAATATCGACGGTGTTCCTCCACCGAGGGAAGAAGATCCCGATCTCGGGGATGGTGGTAGTTTTTTGGCTTCCTAGGTGACCGAAATATTACCACTAACACCGAAATCCAGGATCATCTACCCCCTGTGGAGGCAGCCCCCTTGTCTTGGTGTTGGTGCCCACTTCCAGGCCTCCAAGAAAGGAGCCCATGGGGCCACCCTGTGGTGCTGGCTTCTACATCGGAGGATCTCTTAGTTCTCAGAGAGCTATGGGCGGAAACCAGACGACGGCTCAGGAATGAGCGACACCAGAAGAATCGCGAGCTGGACCCAACGCCGTGCGCTCCATCAACCAAGAAGTGTGGATCAATTCAGGTCACGACCAGTCGCTCAACATATGGACATCTCTCGTGTGGAACCCGTCAGTCACCACAGACGTATTCCCCTACAACGGCGCGAGAAAGACCGAATGCCATCAAGGCCGATTGGCGTCAGCTCGGGAAGAAGAAGAATAATAAGCATAATAACAATAACAATAATACTAATAATACTACTAATAATACTAATAATACTACTACTACTAATAATAATAATGATAATAGTAATAGCAATAATAATAAGACGGATAATAATAATACTAAGAAGAAGAAGCGTGGAGGAGGAGGAGGAGGAGGAGGAGGGGAATGGGGCGCGTGAGGAGGAGGAGGTGGAGGAAGAGGAGGAGGAGATCAGGAGGAGGAGGAGGAGGAGGAGGAAACAGACGCGACTTTTCAGGACACGGAGCAACTGGCAGGGAAAGCATCTCGAGGTCTCCGAGGTCCGCCGTCCAGCGACAGGTGTGCTCACACCAGTGGCAGGCGTGCGGATCTGAACTCTTGTGGTGGCCCAGAGGCCCCGAGGAGGCTACAAGCTCAGGCTCATGAAGTCGAAACCGCCCCCTCCTCCTCCTCCTCCTCCTCCTCCTCCTCCTCCTCCTCATCATTTTTCCTCTTCCTCCTCCTCCCCGCCCCTCAGCAAAGAGCGTACTGCCCTCCGTGGGGGGCACACGAGGCCAGCAGGGAAGCATTTCGGTCCGACAGGCCCCTGCAATCGTGGACATGCGCCGAGATCACCAGGACGGGTGAGCAGGACAAGACGGACTCGGACAGCGATGTGCTGTTCAGCGCGGCCAGCACTACACTCATGAACTGCCTGTGCGGTGCGTCCACTAAAGCTAGCACCGTCAGGGACTTCCTCCGCCTTCTTTACCGGGCGAGAGGAATGGTGGCAGCACACGGTGCTGTAAACGGCCAACAGGCCCACCACGACCCTTCCGGGCCACCAGGCCACACAGGGTCGCCGCCGGTAGTCAACTGTTCTTGCAACAGCTCGAGCTCGCAAAAACTCGTGACCAGAAGACGAAGGACGGAGACCAAGTCCACTGCGCACCAGCGCTGCCACGCCTCCTGAGGCGCCCCTGCCATCCCCAGGGACGGCTGCCGACCACACATCGTTCCAGCCGTGCAGAGTGGCCCCGCTGGACGCCAGTGGTATCCGATGCTCCAACGGTTTATGCTACTCTAGAGCGCTCCAAGACGGCCCGCGATGGCTTCAAGATGGCCAGACAGGCCCGTAAGACGCCCCAGGACAGCCCCATGAGGACCCCCAACACGACCTGAAGAGGCAAACCTCATTAACTTTCCTAGGGTGGTTGTAGCTACTTCGGCTGCAGATTCCAGCCGGAAGGTGTGCTGCAATGAGTGTGTCTCCATTGATGTGTGCACTTGTGTCCTACGCCCCCCCCCGAAGAAAAACATCTTGGGTGGTGGAAGGACTTTAGCGTCCTGGTTGGTCGATCCTCCTCCTCCTCCTCCTCCTCGTCCTCGTCCTCGTCCTCCTCGTCCTCCTCGTCCTCCTCCTCCTCCTCCTCCTCCTCCTCCTCCTTTCTCCTCCTCCTCCTCCTCCTCCTCCCCTCTCCTCCTCCTACCTCCTCCTCCCCCCCCTCGTCCGCCTCCTCCTCCTCTCCTCCTCTCCTCCCTCCTCCTCCTCCTCCTCCTCCTCCTCCTCCTCCTCCTCCTCCCCCTCCACCTCCTCCTCCTCCTCCTCCAGTTCCTCCTCCTCCTCCTCTTCCTCCTCCTCCTCCTCGTCCTCCTCCTCCTCCTCCTCCTCCTCCTCCTCGCCCTCCTCCTCTTCGTCCTCCTCCTCCTCCTCCTGCTCCTCGTTTTGCCGTACCCCGCCGGCGCGGGCGGAGGATGGCGCTTACGCGGGAGCGCGGCGGCGCAGACCCCTGCAGGGCCCTGCCCGCCCGCGATCGCGTCGGCCCCTTGCGGCCTGTAGATGCTGCGCTCGGTGCCGGCTTTCTGGCGGCCCCACCTGCTGCCGGATGCGGTAGTCCCCGCTTTCTGAACAATTCTTGGGCGGGCGCTCATTGGGGGGCGACCCACACCCAGACATCGGGCGTCTCGAAAATATCGAGACGGAGGTTCTTCATCGTCTTCGGCCTCTCGGGGCCCTCGGGACCGTCAACGAAACGCCTCGGGGCGAAAACCGGCCCTGGGGAAGTGGTCGGGAGGTCGGGGGCCCGTGTCTCGAACAAAATCGAGACGTCGGATGTCTGGGCATGGGAGAGCAGGGCCCGAAATGGGGCCTTGTAGGAGGGCCCCTTCGGGAGCCCGCGGGGGCCCGGGGGCCCGAAGGGGCCCCTTGACGGCCCTCTTCTCCCCCCCCAATTGGGTTCACCCCCCATGAGTCGGGGGCGGCAAAGGGGGGGGTGATAACTAGGGGGGGTGGATATCATGGCGTGGGCCATGCCTCTGCTTGTTTCATTACGTCCCTGGCCTCCCCGCTGGGCCGCGCACATGCCGCCGGTCATGATTTGCGCCCCCCCCCCCCCCCCTCTTGGACACCCCCCTCTTGGCCGCTCCCGAATGAGCGCCCGCCCGAACTTCGTTTCACATGGGCAGTGCGGTTCGCACGCCCGCGTTCTATTTCCGAGCGCAGAGTCTGTCCTTCGCCTGCACCGCTCGCTGCGCCAGGTTGGGCCGCAAGTGAATCGCAGGGGAGAGGACGGCTTGGCAGCTCGTTGGTTCCTTGGTTGTCTCGTGTAGGACCGCTGCGCCCCGGGACCCTCAAGAGGTTCCCGCGCGTCACTGTTTCCGAACGCAAGTTGTTTTGTTTCCTTCTAGCTGCGCGTTGCGAGACGGGTCTTGGAGTCACCCGCGGACGGCTTGGTGTAAGGTATGAGGTGGCATATCTGTAGTGTAAGCTACGTGATGCAAACTATGTTGTGCAATCGATGGCGTACAATCCTCTGGGACTTCGAACCATGTGTTTCAAAATATGTGGTGCAACCCGCGTGGTGCAGTCTATGTGGTATGAAAGCTTTGTTGTGCAAGCTATGCGATGCATCCCGTGTATGCTGCAGTGCTCACACCTGTAAGCACAAGAAAGCAGCTCTGCATGCATGAATGTATGCATGTCCGTGTATATACACGTGGGCACTGCTTCCAGCCCGCTAGCTTTGGCCAGCACGCAGCCCACTCCTTCCCTCCTCCGCCTCTCTCCTTTTCCTCCTCCCCCTCCTCCTCCTCCTGCTCCCCCCTCCTCCTCCTCCTCCTCCTCCTCCTCCTCCTCCTCCTCATCCTCATCCTCATCCTCATCCTCATCCTCATCCTCATCCTCCTCATCCTCCTCCTCCTCCTCCTTCATCTCTTCCTCCTCCTCCTCCTCCGCCGCCTCCTCCTCCTCCGCCTCCTCCTCCTCCTCCTCCTTCATCTCTTCCTCCTCCTCCCTCCTCCTCCTCCTCCCTCTCCTACTCCTCCTCCTCCTCTCCCTCCTCCTCCTCCTCCTACCTCCGCCTCCTCCTCCCCTCCCTCCTCCTTCATCCTTCCTCCTCCTCCTCCTCCTCCCTCCTCCTCCTCCTCTCTCCTCCTCCTCCTCCCTCTCCTCCTCCTCCTCCTCCTCCTCCTCCTCCTCCTCCTCCTCCTCATCCTCATATCCTCATCCTCATCCTCATCTCATCCTCCTCATCCTCCTCCTCCTCCTCCTTCACTCTTCCCCTCCTCCTCCTCCTCCGCTCGCCTCCTCCTCATCCGCTCCTCCTCCTCCCCTTCATCTTCCTCCTCCTCCTCCTACCTCCTCACTCCTCCCTCTCCTCCTCCTCCTCCTCCTGCCTCCTCCTTCTCGCTCCTCCGTCCTCCTCCTCATCCGCCTCCTACTCCTCCTCCTCCTCCGCCTCCGTCATCTCTTCCTCGCTCCTCCTCCTTCCTCCTCCTCCTCCTCCTCCTCCTCCTCCTCCTCCTCCTCCTCCTCCTCCTCCTCCTCCTCCTCCTCCTCCTCCTCCTCCTCCCCCTCCTCCCCCTCCGCGTCAGGCTGGTCCGCGTTTGGCGGGAGTTTTGTGCTGCAGGGGCGGCCGCCGAGGGGGCTGCCCAGGTCCTGCACGGAGTGCGGGCTCTTCTCACCGGCCCTGTTCTTTCGCAGGCCTAGAGATTGGAAAGAGCGTGTTCTACCGCTGCTGGCGGAAAACCGGGAGGGGCCACTACCGGTTCGAACCCCTCCCCCCCCCCCCCCCTCCTGAATAACCGTTGGGGGGTCACTATCCGTTCGAACCCCTCCCCCCCCCCCCCCCCCCGCCTGCCTCATATGAAAGGGGGGGGGGGGTCACTACCGTTTCGAACCCCTCCCCCTCCCCTCCCCCCTCCGGATCCGGAAAACCGGGGGGGGTCACTACCGGTTCGAACCCCCCCCCCTCGAAAACCGAGTGGGGGTGCGGACAGTGGTGGGGACGGTGTTGGTGGGGACAGTGGTGAGGGGACAGCGGGACAGTGGTGGGGACAGCGGGGGGACAGTGGGACAGTGGTGGGGACGGTAGTGGTGGGGACAGTGGTGAGGGGATAGCGGGACAGTGGTGGGGACAGTGGGACAGTGGGACAGCGGTGGGGACGGTAGTGGTGGGGACAGTGGTGGGGACAATGGTGGGAACAGGGGGGGACAGTGGACAGTGGTGGTGACGGTGGTGGTGGGGACAGTGGTGTGTGGACAATGGGAATGAGGTGGAAACAGTGGGACAGTGGAGGGTACAATGGTGGTGGGGACAGTGGTGAAGGCGGTGGCGAGGACGGCGGTGGGACAATGGGACGGAGGTACAGTGGGGACAGTGGTGGGGACAGTGGGGACAGTGGTGGGAACAGTGGGACAGCTCAGTGGGACAGCGGAGGAGTCAGTGGGACAGTGGGGACAGTGGGGATAGTCGGGCAGTGGTTGGGGCCGTGGAGACAGTGGGGAAGTGGGGAGAGTGGAACCGTGGTGGGAACAGTGCTGGGGACAGCGGGGACAGTGCGACAGTGGTGGGGCCACTGGTGGGGACAGTAGGGGCGGTGGTGGAACCAGTGGGGACAGCGGTGGTGAGGACAGTGGTGCTGGGAACACCAATGG